GCACCCCTGGGGACAAGGAGAGAGGGACCCTCAGCCACCAGGGCCCCGCAGAGCTGGGTGGTGGGGACAGGGATCCTGGGAACAGTCACCTGCCACCCCGGGGACAGCTCCGACTCCAGGCACCAATCCGGGGACACCAACTCCGGGCACAAGGCCTGGGACGCCACCAACGCCAACACCGGGAACACCAACACCAGGAACACCAACGCCGGGAACACCAGCTCCTGCAGGGCACAGGAGGGGAGCAGTCAGAGCTCATTACAGCAACAGCTGAAAGGTCCAGGGATCTCTGCCCAAATGGCAGCCAGGCTCAGCCATTGGACACCAGATCCTGTGTCGGGATTCTGTGTCTGCTGCTGGGAAAACAGAATTGATACAAAACTCATGATTTCAGATCAAGTCCAAAGACATGAGTTGGGGTCTCATGGTTCCTTTCCATGAAGCAGCCTCCAGAGACCCTCCTGAAGGGGGAGAAGGTCATGTCCCGGGGATGAAGCCAAGCCCGGATGGCGCAGCTGGGAGCTGGGCTGAGCACATCCCACCCTCCCTCAGCAGTGATCCCCAGGGGACACCCTGTGTGTGACGGGTGCAGAGAGTGCTCAGGGTTCCCGGGGGCCGTGGGGGCTCTGCGCAACACGTACCGAACTTAGCTGCCTTTGCTGCTGCTGCTGCCGACGGCACCCCTGGGGACAAGGAGAGAAGGACCCTCAGCCACCAGGGCCCTGCAGAGCTGGGTGGTGGGGACAGGGCTCCTGGGAACAGTCACCTGCCACCCCGGGGACAGCTCCGATTCCAGGCACCAATCCGGGGACACCAACTCCGGGCACGACGCCTGGGACAGCACCGACCCCAACACCAGGAACGCCAACGCCGGGAACGCCAACGCCGGGAACGCCAGCTCCTACAGGGAGCAGGAGGGGAGCAGTCAGAGGTCATTGTAGTGGCAATTGAAAGGTGGGACCTTGTCATGGCTCTGCTCTCGTCATCGTGCTGTGGTAAGCAGAGTATTGCACCGCCTCATCCAGGAGAGACAACAGTGGGGCAAGGGAGGGATGGGTCTCCTGTCTTGTAAGACCCAGCTGGATGCACTTTCCGAATCCCATCACATCTTTGGAAGGTGGTGGGTAACCCTGGGCAGGGGTCCCTCTATCAGGGATCTCTGCCCAAATAACAGGAAGGCTCAGCCTTTGGGCACCTGATCCTGTGTCAGGTCTGCTGCTGGAAAGCAACTTTGGTACAAACCCCAAGAACTCAGACCAAGTGCAAAGACGTGAGTTGGGTCTCCCTGTTCCCTCGTACGTACCGATCTTAGCTGCCTTTGCTGCTGCTGCTGCCGACGGCACCCCTGGGGACAAGGAGAGAGGGACTCTCAGCCACCACAGCCCCACAGAGCTGGGTGGTGGGGACAGGGCTCCTGGGATCAGTCACCTGCCACCCCGGGGACTCCAACACCAGGCACCAATCCGGGGACACCAACTCCGGGCACGACGCCTGGGACAGCACCAACCCCAACACCGGGAACGCCAACGCCAGGAACGCCAATGCCGGGAACACCAGCTCCTGCAGGGAACAGAAGGGGAGCAGTCAGAGCTCATTGCAGCAGCAGGTGAAAGGTGGGACC